AGCCATTGGGAGTGGGATTTGAACTGCCAACTTTTAGATTAGCAGTTCATTGCAAAACACTTGGTCCACACAAGCTCCTTAGGTACACTCTTACTCAGATTTTGTGCTTAAAAATATGTATAGAAGAGGACTGGAAGGAATTACCTCTGAATACTCATGATTGTTCCCTCTCTGTATGGCAGGTCTACTATGATCATGTATAATCTTTATAATCAGAGGGTTTTTTTTTTTTTTTTTTTTTATGTTAAAGGTGACATAAAGTAGGACCAGCACTGGATTGGAAGCCACAGGATCAGCAGTTCAAACCCACCAGCTAACCCTCGGAAATCCTACATAGGGTTGCTATGCATTAGAACCAACTCGTTGATTCTTGACAACAGTATACCTTAGATTTCAAGTGAGCTCTTATATGTACATTTAGGCCTTGTTCTTTACATTACTGTTGGTGAAATACTCCTACAAATTCTGCTCGTGGTGAAATATTCCTACAAATTCTGCTCAGTGGCTTAAATGTACTTGTGTTACTTGATGTTTAGGCCTTGTTTCAAAGTGTATTATGCATTTGAATTTTACTTTCATGTGTTTATGTTAGAGTTGCAAGAACAGAATCAAGATTAAGAGGAAAAATGTAGACTGCATCTTCTCCATTGTTCAATAAAACAAACAAACAAACAAACAGGAAGAAGAGAAATTTAAAAAAAAAAGTGAAGTAAATTTAAAAAATGTCATCTTAGACTTTATCAGTAGAGATACATGTTTTATGATAGATAAGTAGCTAATGCTGAATTTACCTTGACTTATGATGACTTTATGTACAACAAAACTGAATATTGCTCAGACTTGCATCATCCTCCTGATCAACAGAACATTTGAGTTCATTGTTAAGGTGACTGTGACAATCTATCTCACCAAGGGTCTCTCTTCCCCTCATTGGTCCTTTATGTTTTGGGGTAAAAGAGATGATAATCTGGATTCTGCTCACCTGGAGTACCATGCTTAGCACTTGAAGTATGTTTTAGAAGTATATGAGTATGCTTCAAAATTCATGAAAAAATGGAATGAAAAGATAATGGAATTTTTCCATTAACTTTTTGAAACCCCTTTGTATGTTAAGGAAAATTGACAATCAGTAGTCTGGCTAAGACCTCTGAAAACAGTCACCTGGAGGCATGGGAGAAGAGCGTAAGACAGGTCGGGTGGCTTTCTGCATGTGGCTGCAGGCTTGTATAGAAAAGAGCAGCTGAGCCCATGGGTCAGACCCAGGGCTGGTGGGAGAAGCTGTAAGATGGAGAACCATGTTCCAACAATCCTGTGGTGGGTACCTCTTCTTGCAAATGTCAACAGTCACACTGAGGTGGCTGTGGAAAGGAAATAAAGGACCCCCCAGTTAAGGCACTGGAGGCCAGCAGTGGAACTGTGAGGTCAGCAGCCCAAAGGTCAGTGAGCCAGCAAGTTGGGCTGTGATGAAACTTGATAGCATCCAGCTTGTTAGCCCTGCTTTGTTACTGTGAGGCCCATGACACTGATATGCTCCCATGGGTCACAGAGTCCTGGCGTGGCACTGCATGATAAACCTCAAGGTCAGTTTGAACTGCAAGGTCAGTGGTTCAAACTCACCATCCATTCCTTGGCAACCCTATACAGGGCCGCTATGAGTTGGAACCAACTCTATGTAACATAACAACAACAACAAGAACATGGGTCACAGCTAAGATGACGTCAAGTGATGCAACAACAACGTAGTGGGGATTGATCTTATTACAGAGCTCAGCTTGAGTTATCTTCTGATATATGAGAAATTGCACATCACTCATGAAGTTCAGGCCAACGATTAGTGACAAGTTATCCACACCTGAATGCCACCTACCTGCTTTTCATCTTCATTTGACAATGGGGAACTGAAGCCCAGAGAGGGGGACGAGCCACAGGATGGGCACCAGATCAGCTTGCTGGCTCCAGACTATGGCTCTTCCTATGTGCTGAGCACAGCCTGTTGTCACCTTAGATTATGGTGATGGTGAGCGATGGGCTTGTGGGAGGAAGCAGGAAGCAAAGGTAAGAACACGAGAGGTGAATCCTGGCCATGTCCCCAAGGGGATACTTAATACATCAGCCTTCCAGCACCAGTGCTTGGAGGAGAGGTGTGGCCAGGAAGTGGGTGACATTTATAGTCACTCTTCATTGCAGATGTCATCACCTCCACTGCACTATCATCCTCATTATACTCAGGACATAACACTCATGACCCCTAGACCAATAGGCCACCTGATACCAGCTTTAGTGAAGGTCCAAGTTCCTGAGCCCCAGCCTCATGGCAGTCCCAACACTGGGCTCAGAACTGGTGACCTTTGAGGGAGGGGAAGGATACCCTCCTCATTCACTTAAACCTTTCTTCTACCTTTCCAAACTAGGATAGGTACAGAGCACCGGAAACATAAGTGCCCTCAGGTGGAGTTGACTCAGAGAGCAACTCTGGCAATAGCCTCTTGCCTCTCACCCTGGCTTGGGGAGAAGATTCCTGGAGTCATGCTCTTTCAACAAGTGAACAGCCTCTTTTCTGCCCAGTCTAACGCCGTTGCTCATTTCACAACCAAGGAGAATGCTGGGCTAGGCCCATCGGGGAATTAATGTATCTCCCTGGCAATATCTAGGTGTTTATGAGGAGATGATCTTTCTCCAGTGACTGGTCCCTTCTGACAATATGTCCGAAATATGAGAGATAAGTATGTGAGTACCGACTCGGTGGCACCTAAAAACAACAAATGAGATGAGCTAGGCAAGTAGTCAGCAGTGGTTCCAATCCCCGAGAGACAGAGGTCATTGGTGGTGGTGGTGGGGTGGTTGGGGGAGTAAGAGGGGCTTCCTGGAGGAGGCAGGCTGGATTTTATTGTATGAACTGCTAGAAATTTTATTCTTAGCACTTATGAAGCAGCTAATATTTTGCAGATGAGGAAACAGACTTAGAGAATAAATGATGGATTTTAGATGGCACAGCTTGTGCAAGCTGGAGACGGTTTAAATTCAGGCCCCTCTAATGGCAAACTTCATCTTGGTCTTTCTTTAGCCTTTTTTCAGAGTACACAGTGTTTAAAGGACTGGTAGGGTTTGAAAGTGTTCCAAACCGGCAAAGGGTGAGTTTGAAGAACAATGAGGAGGCTGCCTGGTTGGGTCTTAAGGGCTCAGAAGGCCGGAAGAATGAGAGCCCTGTAACATGTCACACTGTGCCTTTAGACTTGATGGGGAAGCTGTGTGGGAGTTAGCTCTGAGTTGGGGGATATAGAGCTCTTTGGAGGCCTAATCTGGCAGAACAGGGCCAAGTTGCCCACCTGCTGCAGTAACAAGCACACAGTCACAGGAGATGGATAACCATTCTCTCCAACTCAGACTCCAGATCTCCCTGGGAAGGGGACGATAGTCAGCTAAGCCCCGAGCACCACTACTTGAACGCTCTCTCATGCCCGCATCACTCTTTCACCTCGAAGAGCATCATGTTTAGCACTACATCTTGTTTAATGTTACAGATGAGGAAGTGTCAACCAACCTCACCCTAGACCACTCCCTTCCTCTAGGCCCTTGCAGTTTTCTTTATGTTCAGTGTTCACCTCCCTTCCCAGGCCAGTTCCTTCTCCCCTTTCAAGATTCATTCAAATTGTTAATTTTTTCCCACTATCTTCATGGCACTCAGAGGCAAGATTCAGTCCCTCACCTGGACTCTCTTCTCCACTTTTCTATACACCAGTTGCTATTAAGTCAATTTCCACTAATGGTGAACCCATGCATTATCAGAGTAGAACTGTGCTCAAAGGATTTTCAATGACTGATTTTTCAGAAACAGATTGCCAGGCCTTTCTTCTGAGGTGCCTCTGAGTAGACTCAAACTTAGGGTGCTCCTGGCCTTTTGTTTAGCAGTTGAGCATGTTAACTGTACCATCCAGGGACCATTGTTCTGAGTTCTGAGTGCATGGAAAGGAGGTACAATGTAGGCCTTTGAGTTTTTTATTTTTCCTGGTGGCAGATCAGAAAGCACAAAAGCTGGAAGGGGATAGTGGCCTAAACATTCTCTCCCCAAATACCAAGGGGTCCAGGATGAGGTGGGCGAGGGGTGCAGTGTCCGTTTCAGCTGGACTGTGAAGAACTTAGTCAGCAGTCTGCTTGAGGAGCTAAGCGTCCAGTGAAGAAAAGCATATTGCAGGAGGCAGCATGGTTTGGACAGCAACATGTCTGGGCATGTGGGCAGGATGATCTTGGCTATTGAAGAATGGACACGCTGCTGGGATTGGGACAGTGGGGATGAAGAGGAGTGATTGGTACCTGAAACACTTCAAAAGACAGTGTTTAGGATTCTGGACTGCCAAGAGTCAGAATGTTAAGAGTTTGAGGGTTGAAGGTGCTGGCTGGAGTTGGCGTTGTGTAGGCAAAAGAGATTATTCAGGAAGCCTGGGAAAAATAACTGCACTCCCTACCCCTGTCCGGCACATCCCGACAGCATTAATACACACTCACCTTGTGATCAAGTCTGTTTATTTTAGAAGCATAAACAGCGGAACTGGGAAGGAGTGATGGGAAAAAGGCCCCAGTCCTCTTGACAGAGCCAGCTCCAGACCCACAACTTTCCCCTGTCTCCCATGGCCCACCAGCACAGGCTCTGTCTATCTGCGTGATGAAGGCCAACCCAGCAGCCTAGATCAGCACTTTCCTGTGAGGCGCAGGTGTGAGGACCACCTGGGTCAAGATGAAATCTTCCATGAGTGTGGGAGTAGTCTAGTGGGCTCTGCAACCCTCTGGACCAGTTGAAAAGGCCAGAAGGTCCACAACATCCTTGGTCAAGAGCACCCTAAGTCAGTTCTGCCCATGCCTGGCACAAAGCATGCTCTGGAGTGGGTGCTAGGGTGCCCTCTGGTCCCTGGAAGGCCCCAGGTGTTCAAAAACGTGCAGTGAGGCCCCCATCTTAAAGGAGAGGGTATCCAAGGCAGCCTGACTCCCCAGAGACCCTTTGCTGGGTAACATAAGCCTCAGGTACCTACACATACTGTTTCTTGGAAGCAGAGCTGCTAGCGCGGCTGGGGAGTTTCTGACCACTCTGGGGGGGTGGGTCCAAGAAAAGGGGGGGTCTGGAAGAAGCCAGTCTCTCCTCTGTGGTCAGGTTGGCCCAGTTCTGCTCACTGGAAGAGAGCCCATTGTAGGTGGGACATGGTGGGGACGAGGGCCCCTCGCCCATGGGGAGGTAGAAAAAGACCTGTTCAGGGAAAGGGTCTGAGGAGGTGCCCTGGGCTGGAGGTGCCTCCTGGCTCTGTCTCACCCTCATGCCCCGGCTCAGGCAGCGGCATAGCAGGTGCACCAACTCCAGCAGGTTGAGCACCAGGGAGATGAGTCCGACCACCAGCATAAAGATGATGAAGATGGTCTTCTCCGTGGGGCGCGAGACAAAGCAGTCCACGAGGTGAGGGCAGGGGACACGCTGACACACGAACACGGGCTTCATGGTCCAGCCATAGAGGTACCACTGACCATAAAGGAAGCCTGCCTCTAGCACGCTCTTGCACAGCACGCTGGCCAGGTAGGTGCCCATGAGAGCTCCTCGGATCTGCAGGCGCCCGTCTTCAGCTACGGAGATCTTGGCCATCTGACGCTCTATGGCCGCCAGGGCCCGCTCCACCTGAGGGTCCTTGGCCGGCAATGCCCGAAGCTCCCCTTCCTTCTGCCGCAGCCGCTCCTCGCGCCGGGATAGGTAAATGACGTGGCCCAAGTAGACCAGGGTGGGTGTGCTGACAAAGAGGAACTGCAGCACCCAGTAACGAATGTGGGAGATGGGGAAGGCCTGGTCGTAGCAGACGTTGGTGCAGCCTGGTTGGGCGGTGTTACACTCGAAGTCCGACTGCTCATCGCCCCACACGGACTCACCGGCCAGGCCCAGAATGAGGATTCGGAAGATGAAGAGCACCGTCAGCCAGATCTTGCCCACTGCGGTTGAATGCTCTTGGACCTGGTCCAGCAACTTCTCGAGGAAGCCCCAGTCCCCCATTGCTTCTGGGCCTCTGTGGGGAGACCAAGAGCAAAGTCAGTAAGGAGGCCTGCCATCCCATTGTATCTACAGGGAAACCCACTGAGGACGGGAACCTGTGGATCAGAGGAGCTCAGGGAGGGGAAGAGACTAGTCTGGGGTCTCACACCCAGTCGCAGACAAGACCCAAAGGCAATTTTGGGGTGACGGGTGCTAAGCTCTTTGCATCCTTACATTCTGTTTCTCTGAATGTCAGTGGTTATGATGAGGAACCTGCCTAGTCCCATTTACATGTCCCTCTCTTCCGAGTCAGAGAGCCCCAGGATGAACACAGCCTAGAGAGACCTGGATCAATTTGAGGCTCCTTGAGAATTTGAGGAACTTATCCAAGGTCACACAACTGTGACATGCCTTCTTTCCTGCTGCTCAAAGCTGACTACCTGCAGACAGTGGAGTGTGCTGTCTTTAGCTTCTCAGGGGGTCTTGCCCCGCTCTCATTTCTCACCCAGCTGACTTCACTCTAACCTTAGCTTAGGCCTGGGGATGGGAGAGATTTTAGAAGGTAGCATCTTCCATCAGCCCCACCTGTCAGCAATAATGACCACCTTGAACTTAAGTGTGGACACTTGGTCCTCTCCCTCTTCACTTTCCTCCACAGCACCCCGCACCACCCTCCAACCAAGCGGTCTTTGCCAAATTCTTGACTCTTGGGAGGAATCATCATTGCAGATGGGGGCACAGGGCATAGAGTTCCCAGGATGTCTGGGGGAACGCGGTGGGGAGGGAGGTAAGGGAATGGGAATGAGGAGAGCCTTTTCCCAGGAACAAAGCTAGAGCCTTGCCCCAGAACCAGTAGGGGTTCGAAACCTGCCTCATTCTTTCTTGGATAGTAAGAGCTCTCAGAGCCGCAGTCCCCTCTCTTAAAAAACAGAAACAAAAATATTCTTGTTTCTTTGGTTGTTGTTGTTAAGTGCCATCGAGGCGGTTCCGACTCATAGCAAACCTGTCTTGGGTTTCTGAGGAGAGGCTAGTGGTTTTGAACTGCCACTCCATTGCTTACTCTATAGCGCCACACCAGGATTCCTACTTCTTAGGTTGTCAAAAGGATTCCAGGAAAGAAGGTAAGGAAATGCGGTAATCCAAGAGCCTGGCCTGAGGTCAGGCGCGGTGGCTTAATTAGCATAGCCGGTGCTTTTGCTCACCGCGTGTCCCGCAGCACCGGGCAGGTAGGGGCCAGCCGCCCGACCCCCGCCGGTAGGTGGCACCTCCGGCCCACCAACTCACCGCCTGTCTGTCGGGCCTGCCCAGGTAGTAGTGGGGACGCACGATCGCCAGGCTCGGCGCCCGAGGGAGCCCTGCAGGACGGCGCCGGCCGCCGGGAGCCTTAAATAGCACCGAGGGTGGGGGTGGGGGCAGGAAATGGGTCGGGGAGGGCCAGTAGGCCGCTGGAAAGACAACGGGGGCGGGAGGGGCAGACTCCCTAAACAGGCTATAAAGGGACCCTGGAGATAGCGCTGTGAATTGAGGGAGCCTGAAAATGCCCCAGCCTTGTTCTCACATCTCCAGCTAGCATTCCAGAAGGCAAACTCACACAGTTCAACTCCGAAAAGAGGTGTTAGGGGGAGGTTTACGTGGGAACTTACTGATCCTGGCAACTGGATTTAGGGGCAGTGAGGGAAGGAGTGGGATGGGGACAGGTGTAGGGGGTTTCTAGGGCAGAGTCCTTCCTTGATTCAAGGGACCTGTTGCCCTTGGTGAGAGAAAAGAAGTCTGCTCATTGGTTAGGTGGGCATAGGGCTAGGAACTTGGCAAGGAGGGTCATTGGGACACAGAAGAATTCCACAGGGAAAGAGAGGCTTTATTTGCATTTCCTAGAATGCATGGTGGAGCTGGGGTCCCAATCCAGTCTGTATTCTTCCCGAATTCTGCATTGGGAAGTAATGTCCTAAACATCTTCCTTCCTGGGCAGGCTATACCACAAACTACTTGATACTTGGATTCCATTTTCTTCTCTAAATTGAAGGTGGAAGAGAGCCAGCCATCATTCATTCAGACATCACCCAGTAAGGGTTCTAATGTGCTGTGGGCCTTGTACATGGAGCTGAAGAGACAAGGGTAAACCAGCTGGGTGTGGTCTCTGGGTTCTAGCTCTTACTAGCTAGTGCAGGCACCAAACACCTTTGCTTTTAGAAGACAGTACAGAGATAAATGTGGACTGTTCTCCTGAGAAGTACAGGTAGACTCATAGGGACGTGGTTAGGAACGTTTCCTGGATGAGGATACATCAGCCAGGTGAAGAGGAACGAGCACTGTATGCAGAAGGAACAGCAAGAAGAAATACCTGAGGATCTGAGGTTTTGAGATCTTGGTCGTTTCCCCAGGATGCTCAGACTTTCCTGGCCATGGGGGTGGCAGAGCCAAGAACCTGAGACTTGGCTGGTGACTCCATTTTCTTTGGCAAGTTGTTTAAAGCCCTGGGCCTCAAATTCTCCCTCTGACTTCCTTTGTAGGGTTGGGGGAAGATGCAATGGACATACAGAATGGCCAGTGAGCAGGGTTTTAGAAGATATATTGGTTGATACTTAAGATTCCATTTTCTTCTCTGTGTTGAAGGTGGAAGAGAACACTCAGCCATCACCCAGTAGGTCTACATTGTGCATGGAGCTGGAGAGACAAACATAAACCAGGGGTTTAGCAAATGGTGGCTAAAAAAATGTGTCAACAATTTTATAACAGAAAGGTCTGTGGTCTGCAGAAGGGACTGAGGGAGGAGCTCAGAGTAGGGAATGGTGGGGGTGTGGGCAACTAAGGAAAGAAAAGGTGGCAGGTAGGGGTGGAAGCTTAGCATCCTGGGTTGCAGAGTTCCCTATTTCTCCATTGTAGGATCCAGTCCTTGACTCCCAGACCCAGAACTGGTCCCCAAGGCTTCTGCCTTTACTTGAGCAGAGGGATTGTGTGTGGTAGCTCAGTGCTCAGAACTTCAGAGATGGTAGCCCCAGGAAGACTGGGCTAAATTGACATCTGCTGGGTTATGTGTTACGCTACTAACTGCAAGACCAGAAGTTCTAACCCACCAGCAGCTCTTCCGTAGAAAGAGGAGGTTTTCTGTCCCTGTATAGATTTACAACCTAGGAAACCCTATGTAGAGTCCCTATAAGTCGGAATTGACTCTATGGCCATGGCAGGGATTTGGGCTCTCACTCAGGGTGAGGCTAAGCTGGACCACTTGGATATCCAGAGCTAACAACTTTACCTTCTTGGTTTGTGTATAGGTTCCACATGATGACATGAGTACAATGAATTAGTCTGGAATTCCCATTATTTGCAATGCTATCCAGAGTTTTTTTATGATAACATTGGTATTGTTATGATTGTTAAGTGCTGTCCAGGTTCTGACTCCTAATAACTTTGTATAGGGTTTCTGAGGAGCGGCTGGTGAGTTTGAACCACCGATCTTGCAGTCCTGCGCATTAACTTGCAGCACCACACAATGACTCCTATTATTTCATAGTTAATAAGGACAACATTGAGAAGTATGAGTATTCCAGAACACTTAATTGTACTTCTAAGAAATCTGTACCTAGACCAAGAAGCAGTTGTTTGAACAGAACATGGGAACACTGAATGTTTTAAAATTGGGAAAGGTGTGAGACAGGGTTGTATTCTTTCACCATACTTATTCAACCTGTATGCTGAGCAAATAATACGAGAAGCTGGGTTCTATGAAGAAAAACGTGGCATCAGGATTGGAGGAAGACTCATTAACAACCTGCGATATGCAGATGATACAACCTTGATCGCTGAAAGTGAAGAGGACTTGAAACATTTACTTATGAAGATTAAAGAGCACAGCCTTCGATATGGATTACATCTCAATGTCAAGAAAACAAAAATCGTCACCACTGGACCAATAAACAACATTCTTATCAATGGAGAAAAGATTGAAGTTGTCAAGGACTTCATTCTTCTTGGATCAACTATCAACACTTGCGGAAGTAGCAGTCAAGAGATCAGACGACGTATTGCACTGGGCAAATCTGCTGCACAGGAACTTTTTAAAGTATTGAAGAGTAGAGATGTCAGCTTGAGGACTAGGGTGCGCCTGACCCAGGCCATTGTGTTTTCAATAGCCTCATATGGATGCGAAAGCTGGACAGTGAATAAGGAGGATCGTAGAAGAATTGATGCCTCTGAGTTGTGGTGTTGGAGGAGAATACTGAAAGTGCCATGGACTGCCAAAAGAACCAATAAATCTGTTTTGGAAGAAGTGCAGCCAGAGTGCTCCTTGGAGGCCAGGATGGCTAAGCTTCGTATCTCCTACTTTGGACATACTGTCCGGAGGAAACAATCGCTGGAGAAGGATGTCATGCTGGGTAAGTTGGAGGGTCAGAGAAAAAGAGGAAGACCCCCAACGAGATGGATCAGCCAGGTGGCATCATTGATGGACTCAAGTGTGGCAGCGGTAGTGAGGTTGGCCCAGGATTGAACATTGTTTCGTTCTGCTGTGCATGGGGTCGCTATGAGTCGGTTCCGACTCGATGGCACCTGACAACAACAACAACAACAACAACAACAAGCACCTGTACATAGACCAAGCAGCAGTCATTTAAACAGAATAAGTTGATACTGAATGGTTTAAGTCAGGAAAGGTATATGCCAGGGTTGTGTCCTTTCACCATATTTATTCAAACTGTATGCTGAGCAGCTAATACAAGAAGCTGGACTATATGAAGAATTCAGCATCTGGAGTAGAGGAAGACTCATCAACAAACTTGAATATGAAGATGACAGAACCTTGCTTGTTGAAAGAAAGCGAAGAGGACTTGGAGCACTTCCTGATGAAGAGCAAACCCTATAGCCTTCAGTATGGATTCCATCTCAACATAAACCAAAAATATCACTGGGCCAATAACCAACATCATGATAAATGAAAGAAACATCGAAGTTGTCAAGGATATCATTTTACTTACTTGGCTCTACAATCAATGCCCATGGAAGTCAATTGGCATATTGCATTAAGC